AAATTCAACAACTTAAGAGAAAATCCAAGTGAAATAAACAAAAACAGAATAAAAAACAAAAACAATTAAGATGAATTAAATCACTTAAGATGTAAAAAATAAATTAAAATAGGATGAACTAATGCAAGCAATATATTTTAGCCAGAAAATTTTACTGTGAATTTCTCATTCTAAAAGAAAACAAAAAAAAAAACAAACAAAAAAAAAACACTTGAAAAATAGAGATAAACAAAAAGAAAATAAGAAAAATAAGAAAATAAAAAAATAATTTTATCTTCCAGGAGGAAGCATCGCTAACATTTTGGTAAATATTCTTCCAGGTTTTTTTTTTTTTTTCCCTCTGTATATGCCACCCACATGTTATATAGGATGTATACCACAGAGGTCTATAGTATACATGCACATTTATCATAAATGTATATATTGTAAAAAATATACATGTATATAATTATGAACAAAGAGTATAAAGTATAGGTATTCACATATACGGGTTAAATATAACCTCTTAAATTCTAACAGAATAGAGGATAAGACTAAATTAGAAGTGACAGAATAAGTAAAATAAGTTTAATTCCAAAATTAACATCCTCAGGGATCTTCAGGCTATTGGAGTTAGGATCCCTTGAAACATTCCCTGGGCCTCCCTCCTTAGAGTTAGATTTCCCTGCAGGGGATCTTTAGCAGATGTCCTTTGAGCTGAGAGCAAAAGGGCAAAGGGCATGACCTTTGCCCTCTAGCTGGGTCCCTGTATTCTCTTAAGCAGCTGTTGGAGATACTTATCAGCCTTCAAAGGCTGCCGGAAGGGAATCCCCGCTGGGTGCCTACTGGCATGGCACATAGCAGTCCCCTTTCTTTGGGGAGTCTCTCTCTTGCCATAAGCCAATCTAACCAACATTTGTTTAGCCCAGGACAGTATATAAAACTCTTTTATATGCATCATCTCATCTGATCTTCACAACAACCCTATGAGGCAGGTATTATTCCTTGACCTTTCTTTTTTTTTTTTCTTAGGGGATTAAGTCACTTGCTTAAGGATACAAACAGCTACTAAGAGGTACAGCCAGAACTTAAACCTGCATCTTCGAATTCAAATCCTGTGATCTTTGCTCTATGTGTACAGAGCGCCCCCCCCCCCGCCAACTTCTGAGTAAATGGATAAAAGTGGGATTCTGAGTTTCTAAGGCTGAAAGCCACACCTGCACCAGTTACTCCTCCACCTTGAGATTATGAGTCTTCTTGGAATGTTTTTTTAAAGGCCTATGTGGATCTCAGTAATAGCACAATAAACATTTGTTGGAAAATAAACAGATATATTTTGTACTTAGACAGTCTTCGCGAAGTTTATCAGAGTTGATCTTCTTTAGAAGCTGGATTCAAAGATATTTTATCTCTTTCAGATCTCAAAATCATATTCCTATGCCTTTAATTAATAGGACAACGCATTACAAATAAGGCTTTACCAGTGCAAAAACAACTTACTAACTTAAATCAAAATAAAGTAAGCTATTGGGATAAGGATGTAAATGTAGACACAAAAAGGGAAAATGTAAGATACTGGGACTCAAGAGGCAAGTGAATAGAAGGATAATAGGTTTACAAAGGTGGGAATGAGGACATTTCTTTAATAATTATGCCTGGAGTTTCCCAATCTACACCTGCTTTTTTTGCACTTTCTTTATGAAATACTTGGAGTTACATAGATTGATCAGATTGTCTCACTTTGTCTTTTGTCTTCTATTGCTGACCTATCTTTTCCTCAGTATATTAACAGACACAGAACTAAGGCATCTGACCAAATGAGTTTAAATGCAAGAGATCAAACTCTCTAGGACAGTGGTTTTTTTAAATCTATGATACAAATGAACTCATTCTTTAAATAGGCATCCACATGGAAGCCCAATAAATAAAATAAAAGCAGAGCTGGTGTCATGGAATGGGAGCAGGAGAGCAAATTGCCACCTCCCAAGGCCCTCACATCCTTGCTGAGGATGGGTCTAACCCTTAGGATCTGAAGCTGGTTGAATCCTTCGGTTTTATTTTCTATGATACAGTATAACAATGAGATATAGAATACATTCTATGTTTGTCACTGGCTTTGCTAAAGAGTAGAGCTTGGGGTGGTAAGGGACCTGGGTGGTGCATAAACAAAGTGGCACAGAAATGGGAAGTGGGAAAACCAACCTGTTTCTATTTTTCTTCTAAATTTTTCATTATGAACATAATTTCACGAAAGAATAAATGTTCTGTCATTTTCAGAATTTAAAGAATGGGATGAAAAACTTTTAAAAACATTGTAAATTGCATTGTATCTCTTTGATTTGCGGTTTAGCTCTGCCATCCATCATAATGGTTTGCGATAGAAAGAGACTTTGGATCATCAATCTGTCCTCCTGTTCTTCTTGTCAGTGTTTGTGTCCTGAGATAAACATAATCTGTTTCTATTATTCATTTTTCCGAAAAGTTTTGAATAAATTGAAATATAGAAGGTTCTGTCTTATGCATATACTCTGTAGAATTGAATGACTTTGGAACTGCTCCTTGTGGCTAAAATTTGGCCTATCAGAAATTGAGAGAATAAATTTTATATATACATAATATATTGTATAGTAACCTTTAGGTCTGTTTGCTTTCTACTGCACTAGAGGATATTGGATCTTTTTGTAGTTTTATAAATCACATGGTGAGACTATTTATGAAGCTTTTGTGAAAATTACATAATTTCTAAAGTGCTCCTTCTATTAGGAATGCAGGTATTTTTTTTCCATTGAGTAATGTTTCATACTCAGCATTCCTCTGTCTATGTGTAATAGCTAGATATATTGGAGGGAGTTTTAATCGAACTTGAACATGGCATTATTTTTTTTCTCATTTGTAAATAGTTTTCAGATTTACCCTCATACGGTATACAGTTTCTTTCTATATTGAATGACATTCTTCATTTACCTTCTAGCATTTTCCCAGTCTTGACATTTTTAGGCATCCAAGTTTTCCAGAACTTGACTCCAGTTAAACATCTCTTAAAATCTTCATAGGTATACACCAAATATCTTTACATCTGAGAGAAATTTAGGGGATGCTTACCTCATTCTCTCTTTAATTATTATCTTGTTGGAAATCAAAATCCTCTAAAGTTATTTTCATTCTACACTGACTTTGTATATGCAAGAAAAGTTAGAAATACAGGCATATAATATGAAATGTTTACTCTTTGAGTTTTTTAGAAAAATTTTATGAGAGTAACTTGTTTGAACAGTGTGTGGGGTGTGGAACACTAAGGAAGAAGGCATGAATTCCTATAGAGCAAGTAACTTCTTTGAAGGAACTTACCTATAGAGAATACACAGAATTTGAGTTGACCACTTAAGAAAGAGCTTCCATGTTTTTATATACATGGAATCAAAGTTACTTTTACCATGAATTTTTATTCTCCAACATACTCCTTTGGCATTTGGAGTATGGCCTGTGTGATCTTGTTGCTAACCCTCCCCTTTTTGGTCCTTACAATGGAGAAGGTAATTCCTAACATGGCTATATTAAGGGAGTCTTGTTAAAATAAATTTAAAAATGGATATGAAAGTAAAAAAATAATAAAAAGAATACAGATTATGAGTTTATCACACGAAAACGAATCAAACAGGTTGCTATTCCTTTCCAAGTACAGATAAGTGTTACATCAGCATGAACGTTCTGAAATCCTCAAACAACCTGATATTCCAGGAAAAACTCTGGCTTCTCAGAACAAGATTAAAGAGAGGAACTGACTCAACATCATTGAAAGAAGGTATAGAGCAAACTTGAACACAAAAATTCTATTTTCAGTTGAGGAAGTCTTATCGCTAAAGCACGTTTCTGTTTGTAAGCTGGACACACTAAGCAAGTCTACTTTTTGTAACATCTTGTTCTCAGGAGAGAACATGTGTATATAATCACATGTGATCCATTATAATGCTTCTGTTTTGCATGCAATCAGATGGTTATGGGTTTTTGTACAAGAATTTCTGTTTGAGGCTAGCCTTCATTCCTGGTGTCATATATAGTTCCTCTTAAAATATTTATTGCAATTACTTATGATTCCTTAATGTGAGGTTTTGTCGAGCAGTGACCACCATCTCTTATTTTGTTATTTACACAGCTTCCAACTACACTTTTAACACAGACTTTATTTTTTAGAGTAGATTTAGGTTCACAGTAAAATTGAGGTGAAAGTACAGAGATTCCCCATATATCCTTGGCCCCCACACATGCATAGCCTCCCCCACCATCAACATCCTACACCAGAGTGGACCATTTTTTTTTTTTTTTTTTTAAGATTTTATGTATTTGACAGAAAGAGACACAGTGAAAGAAGGAATACAAGTAGGGGGAGTGGGAGAGGGAGAAGCAGATTTCCCGCTGAGCAGGGAGCCTGATGTGGGGCTTGATCCCAGGATGCTCAGATCATGACCGGAGCTGAAGGCAGACGCTTAACGACTGAGCCACCCAGGCGCCCCCAGAGTGGACCATTTGTAACCACTGATGAGTCTACACTGACACATCATTATCACCTTAAGTCCATAATTTACATTAGGGTTCACACCAGGTGTTGCACATTCTATGGGTTTTGACAAACGTATAATGACATGAATTTACCATTAAAATATCATATAGTACTGCCCTAAAAATCCTCTGAGCTCCACCTTTCATCCCTCCATTCCCCCAGTCCCTGATAACCACTGATCTTTTTACTCTCTCTATAGTTTTGCCTTTTCCAGAATGACAAATGGTTAGAACCATGACTTTTCAGGACAACTGTACTTGCTTAAAACAGAAAATATTTATTTGTAAATCATAAATTAATTTTTAAATTGATGAATATATTTAATACTAAACAATAGTAACAACTGTATATTTTATACTCAATATACAACACATAGAACTATACATATTTTTTCAAGTTTTATAGAGATTATTATGTTTTTTACCTGGTAGCTGCATCCAATTTCAGAGGCCACTTTCAGGTCCTGGAAGAGGCAATTTATTGTCTTGACTCTGCGTATGTAGTTTCCCTGCTTTCTGCTTCTATATTCCTGGACGAGTTACCTGCTGAGAAAAGAGACAAATGACGCTAAAATACATGAAAAACTTTAAGATTCATTTTTCTATTCTCATCTACTTTTCTGTCAGGATAGGAAATCCTAAGTTCTACCAGGGGCCTAACCCCTTAACATATTTCCTGCCTTACTGTAATTTAGAAGACTTGAAATTTTCAAAATGGGTTGCTTCAGGCTGAATTTTTATTTATTTATTTATTTTATTTTTATTTTTTAAAGATTTATTTATTTGAGAGAGCGAGAATGAGAGAGAGAGAGAGAGAGTACATGACGGGGGGAGGGTTAGAGGGAGAAGCAGGCTCCTCGCTGAGCAGGGAGCCCGATGCGGGACTCGATCCAGGGACTCCAGGATCATGACCTGAGCCGAAGGCAGTCGCTTAACCAACTGAGCCACCCAGGCGCCCCCAGGCTGAATTTTTAATTACTTATTTTAGGTAAGCCTTCCTGCTCTTCCAAACCAAACCTTGAATGATTTGTGGCCACGATTACTCTGGTGGCTGCAAAATAAAGTGACAGTGAGGTCTTGTTTTTTTTTTGTCAGAAGTAACCATTATAGACCTTGTTAGGTTGTGGTCATTTCTCCTCTCCTACATAGATGGTGTTGAAGTCCCAGAATGTGAAGTCTTAAAATGTCATAATAAAAAATCCATTTTCCTTTGAGCAGCTAATCAAGTTTCCCTGTCACAATTTGTAAACATCATTATAGTGATAAACGGCTTAGGAGAAGTCCTAAGGAAGTGTGGAAAGAAACAGTTCCATGTGTGAGCTGTGCTAGCTGTCAGTTCCCAAGTGTTAAGTGTAGAGCCTAAGGCAAGGCAGCGAACACACTGAAAGAGAGGTGGAGTACTAAAGGAACAAAAACAGTAATTTTAACCTCATTGTTTACACCAAATTCAGTTCCACTGTAATAATAGAAGTGCCTTAAATTTTGTTTCAAGTTTTTATAATGCAAATACGACTTCTAAATTTTGATTAAAAATTTGTCATTTGTTTTTCTTTTTATCGATGGAATGTCATTTGGTTTTGAGAATAATTTTAAGTGCTGTGTGAAATGAGGAAGTCACAAAACCAAGGGACATTATTACCTGGAGAGGAAGTGGTTTAGGAAACTTGTCAATCACAGTTGTGACTAAGGAACCACTTTGGTCACCGTTTCCGATCTTTACCAGCCGTTATCTGGGGAAGGGCAGATGGTGGTGCCCAAGCTAGATACCACAGTAATGAAAACTGCTTGGGGTTGGAGATGAGGGAGATGGATCAAAGTCATGTGTCTATACAGGGTTTTCATTTAAAAAAAAAAAATCAACTTTAAAAAACACTTGCAAAACATAGTAATCAGCCGAACCTAAAATGCAGATGTCCTATGATGGAAAAAAATCATACTTTATAGAAGCTCACATAAAAATAAATAATGTTGGGCGCCTGGGTG